GTAACTTTCTATATGTTGCTGTATGGGTATTCTTATCTCATCGCTGTATTCAAACGTTGTATTGGCGAACGGATTGTACACGTGAGTCTCAAGCTTGACGATCGTCGAAGATTGGCTCGTCTTCGATGTTTAGAATATCGGTCATCTCACAAGTTGCGCACCGCGAATCCTAAAGCTTGTAAAAATTTAACGTTCGACGCATTGAGTTTCTTCCTCTTCTTGATGCAACCGGATGAGCGAATATTGTCGATTGATGTTTATTCTTTTGTAAAATATGCGTTATCTCTCTGCTTCGCTTCGTTCAACACGAGCATCTCAAATGTCACGCTCGTATTATCGCTATTGTCGTACGTGCAGTCTGACGGTGATCTCTTCTCCTCTGAAATCGAGCAATTGTCCGTTCTGATCAACAATGCGTATCGTTAGCTCCGTAATGCTCCGTACGATGACTGGCAGATAAATAATCTGCATCGGTCTTTCCGATATCTTATATCCTGGCGGCACGCTCGGCGAAAATTCATGTATCGTGTGCACACTTTTGTCGTTGCTGTACGCGCCCGCGATCACGTTGCATTCTATATCGATAATGTTTATTATGTTGATCGACACGTCCGATTCATGCCACCTTCGCGGTTGCAGTATACGCTTCGAGAAACCCAGCAGCGATCTAATGTTATTGGGCTTGTTAAAGTTTATTCTGTAGGTGCATTTAATCTCACGTCTCATCGTGTTGTAATTTGCACGGAGCACTATCGGATATTCCCTAATCTCGTCATCATCGCGCGCGGTGTCATCAGCGTTACCATCGGGCGCGTCGCGTCGCGGTCGTAAAATCTCACATCTCAAAAATTTATGGCTTGCAGTTCATACCCCTCGGGAATCGTAATTTCTGTGTCATCTTTGTCAAAATAAAATGTATTGTTCGAAGCGTTTACATTCGGTATCGTGATAAGTCTCCAAAATTGTTAGACCAAGCTCGTAGTCATCATCGCTCAAATATGGCTGGAAAGTAGTTTGCCGCGAGAACGCTGCTCTTCCCGCTCAGCGTAAGCGTCAGCGACATGTTGGAAAAAGCATTCAATGAATACTGAGACGTCGCGACATTTTGTCAGACTTTATAAATTTACGCGCGTCGACCGTTTGGAGAAACCACAGACACAGCTGTCCGCAGACGCTCTGATCGTACGTCTGATAGAACGTTCGATTGTACTCTATTGTCATAACACTGTCTCCGAAATATCGCACCAGTTCCTCGGGCGGTCGAAGATTATCGAAACTGTCGAAGTACACGACGCGATCGTTTCTCTTTGCGTACTATACCCAATGAGTACCGAGACCCATCGCATCGTCCAGATTTACGATACCGCTCTCCTTTCGACACACGCCGCTAATCGATAACGCGTTACGCATAAAAACACTTCTGAAGTACGGTACGCGCATACGTCTGCTCCAATTGTACATTGGTTATGATACGCGACTGATACGCGACAATACGAACCTGCTGATCCTATTCAAACATTAGTACCAACTTGAAACATGTTTACAACGATCACGTGAATACCGACATGTCGTACGATGAATTCTATGCGTTATGCCGCGATTGTTGGCAGCACGAGTACGGATTTCTAGTGATAGATAAAGACAATCCGCTTATCAATGGGCGATATAGAAAATAATTTAACACGTTCGCGGTACCATAACGGGATTAGTCGATGTCGATACGTCAAGCAAGCAACATGGATAACACCAAAGATCGCGAGAAAATAATGAAACAGATTGCAGAAACGAGCGATTCGATTCGCAGAAAATATCGCACTTTGAAAACTGGTAAGATAGCTGAAGATGTAACATTGGAGAGACGTTTCAAGCCCCTCGTCGAACCTCTAAAACAGATTGTTGAAAATATTGAGGAATCTCAACCGATTAAAAAAGAAATCAATGTTGCAAAGGATATCGGTATTAAGAAAAAGAAATGTGATGACGGCGATGATAACACAACTAATAGAAATTCGTATTGGACGTTGGATGGTTGAAATTAACACCGCTTAAAAAGAAACATACAAAACAATTGAACACCACGTTCATTTACGTACGAATCTACAAAAGAATCTACGAAAGAACCGCCGAAAGAATTATCTAAAAAACCATCGAAAATACCGTTATTTGTATGAAACAAAGATGTTTTTGAGACAAAAGACGAGCGATGAACCGTCACCGAAAACAATCATCAAACAGACTCTGCAAACGCAAAGAGGAAGCCGCGAGATGCTTCATGGTCAGCTAGAATGGTTGGGACGAAAGTACGTGCGCCTTCTTCTCGATGACATAGATAAAGCGATAATGTATACGGTGTCTATTTCGACAAAAGTGATACGATGCTCGGTGACAAAAAGTTTGACGTTGACAAAGATGACTCCATAATCATAGATAATGTAAGATACAATGGTACACCAGGATTATACGGATTGATCTTCAAGAGACTTCCCGATGAGGCTATATTCACCGAAGATGACAAACAAACATATAAAAGTATACCGTTAACAATGAATGCTCATAGATGTGGCCACAGTGCCTATAATCCCATTATGGGCAACAAGGGATACAAGTACATTAACATCATCGCTCCGCTCGTATCAACATATAAGAAAAGTGGTAAAAAGGGTGCAGATATTGGCAATATACCATCCATCATGAAGTTAAACGACAACAAGATCGATTACGTGCATTGGGACGATCCCAACGAGCTGGTAATAAGGCTCACGACAACGAAATGATGTTGATCATCGAGGAACTTCGCGAAGCCGGCATTATTATAAATTAATCGCGTATCGACGAAACGAGCCAGTCGAGGAAAAAACAGTGAGGAAAAAACAATTTTAAATCTTATTTACTATTAAACATCATCGAAACGAAATGAGATCCGATGGACGTGAAAAAAATGTTAGTTCCGAGAGGTGACGAATCGTTGAGAAATTGCATGCTCCGATGAGGAGAAATATTTCGCGAAGTGTCGTAATTCGGAGATACGACGATCTGTGGCAGGCTGAGATGCGTCCATACTTGAGTTTTAA